GCCAATTCTCCTGTGCCTCTTAGAGACCATTTTAGACTTGACAAAATTTCTTTTCCTTATGTTATGATTTAATTGTTTTTCTTTCTGTTTTCGGGTTCCGTTTTAGTGGTGCTGCTCAGTTTTGTTGGTTTGGATTGGTGGGTTGTTCTCCTTTAATTCTCCCTTGCTGGTTTTTTGTCGTATGGTGCGTGGTTTTGGAGGATTCATTTCTTTGTAGGTTTCACCATAGTGGTTTTGGGTGGAGCAATGATTGCAACCTTATTTTGATGTTTTGCATGTTTATTGCTCTCCTCCCCTTGACACTGGTTAGGCTTTGGGAATCATGGCTGGTTGTTATTGAGTTTGATGGGGTGCTGGGTTAAGCTGGAGCATTTCTTGAGTTTTGTATATCATGAGCTCTCTAGTTTTTGGAAGTGGAAGTTTCTTGGGTTCTGGAAGGGCCTACAGATTTACTATTGGTTCCTTGCTTGGAGTTATGCTGGTGTTAATTACTGTTTTGTTTTGGTTAATATCCCTTAGCCTGCTGTTAACAATGGGAGATCTGGGTTATATAATTTTGGTTTTTGGGTTTTTGGGTTTTTGAGTTTTGCTGCTTTAACTGTTTCTATGAGATAGGGTGGGATTTTGTTATCTTCTGGAAAGTGTTGTCCAATCCCTACTATTTTGTTGTGTTGGAGGTGTAGGGTTGGATGGAGCAGCATCAGATTCCTCTAAATGATGGTTGCTTGTTGCTGTTTCACCCTAACAGTGATGGTATTAATCTCACTATTTGGTTTTTGTTTAGTATCTTTGGTTTATATTTTGGTTTCTTTTGGTATATGTTGGATACTATGTTTATCCATTATGATTCTAGATGGTATCTTCTCCCTGTTTTGTTAATTGTTATCTGTAGTATTACTGGTGGGTATTTTGGGGGTTGTGCTCTTTGGATTTGCTCTGGGGTGATTCACATTTTCTCTGGTATGACAGGGGGTGGTTTTTACTTAAGTTGGAGGATGCTGGTGTATTCTGGAGTATTGAGAGGTTGGATTTGGGTTATTTTTAATGCTATTCTCTGGTCTGTTATTTGTTATACTAACTATTTTTTTGATTTCTTGTAGGAAGACATTATACCTTTTCCATGGGTGGTATTTTTTTTCTTCCTTATATTTGTCCCTTTTTGTTATATTTTTCAAGTGTTGTTCCTACCTCTGTTTTGTAGGATCCATTTTATGATGTTTACTGCTTTTTTTAGTTTTGGATCAGAGAGCTTATGCTGAAAGCTGATTTGGATTATTTCCCCATTTTTTGGGTGTTCAGCCTTGAGCACAGTATAATGTATTTAGGTTTTCTTGTACTTTTGGCTTAGCAGGGACCTTGACCTTTTAGGAATTTTTGTTTTTTTGGCTTGTAGCTCTTTTGAGCGGTAGTAAAGCTCGATGTCCCTTTAAGGACCTTGTAATTTTTTTTATATGAATGCGTAGGCCCCTCTTAGGGTTTCCCCTAAAAAAAATAAAAAAAAAGAGTTGGTAGGTCAAAGGTTTGGTGAGTTCAATCGACTAGTGGTTTGGTGAAACGGATGATAACAAAGTAGAGGTGTGACCACTGTGGTTCGGCGTAGGTCCAATGAGTAGAATGTTATCCACTCAGATGTTATATATAGATGATGGAGGCTTTGTGGAGTTTTAGCGAAGATACAAAGATCGGCGACAAGTGAGGGTCCAATGGTGGTCGAACAATGAAAGTCTTGTGAAGAGGATCTACAAGCAATGGCCGACGATGATAGTGGCTTAATTAAGGCTTGTTGGTTGTGGTGCGTAGGTAGAGCTCAAGAATTCTTCATGCTTAAGATCTCCATGGAATTTTCATCTAAAGGTCTCCCTCATGTCGAGAGTGCAAACCAATTCTTATTATTTTGGAGGCAAACTCCATATGTATGGAGAAGATCCAAAGTAAATCTGGAGATCTGCATTGGACGACCCATATTGAAACCCTCAATTATAAATCATTTTTTCAACCTTTGGGGTCCCTAATGATATCAAAATCAAACAATGTTGCTCTCATTAGATTCATCTCATCGAGTTGCTTGATTTGACTACAAGGATATCTTTTATAGGTCATTTGATCTTTCAATTAGTGTTCTAAAGCTTCCAATAGAGCTTCAAGCCATTTATTTAGGCCCATTCATGCTTATAATGCATAGTTTCTGGTATCGTTGGATTTATCTCGTCGAGGTGTAAGTGTGATTATAAATTTCCTAGAATCGAAGTTTATATGATCATTTAATTTCAGTATTTCTTAATTCAAATATGTTTAGAGATTCAAGCCAGAACAAGAAAATTTGTTTATTCCTTATCAGATATATCTGTCTCACATATTTAAGATTTAAGAAAAGATTAGATAAGACAATCTTATCAAATTTGTTCTTAAAAAATTTTAAAAATTAAATTTATATTTAAATAAGAAATTTAAAAAAT